CCCCCGGAGATGCCCTTGGAGCAGCGCCGGCCCCCGGGATCCGGCGTCTGCAGCCGGACCGGGGGCAGCGCGGCGGCTCCGCGGCGCTTGGCCCTGCTCCTGCCCTCGCCTCTCCTGCCGCCCTCCACGTTGGCACCGGGGCCCCCGGGCGACACTGGCCAGAGGAACGTTACCTCGAGCCCAGAGAGCGATCAAACAATCAGAGCAAAGGCATCTAACCAAATCCTCCCGCCACCCTGGGAGACCACCCAGCAGCACAGCCGTTATCTGCCAGGGTGAGTGTTTACCAATAACGGGAACCAGCTTGCTGTTTTACTGCGAGCTTTATAAGGATAAAAAGAAGGGCTGGGCTTGAGCAGCTTGGAGACGCTGGGACACAGGCCGGCCATTTGCTCGGGCTGCCTAAGCCCCAGCTCAGCTGGGATAAGCTATCTGCTTTGATTGTTTAACAATTCCTCCTCCTTGCTCCCTCCAAAATTCCCTCCAAATCCCATTTAACACCCGCCTGCCTCTGCCAGCCCCTGGCACCCCCAAATGTAGCACAAGGAGAGGCACCCGTTTCGTGCCACAGGCAGAAAACTGGCAAGAAGGGAGAAGCTGGATGCGGGCACCCAGCTCCATGGAGCTCCACGAGCTCCACTGAAAGCAAACAGCTCGTGCCAGGCCTGGCTCATCCGCAGACACAACCTCACCGAGGCCCCGGGCCACATAAGCACCAGGGCTCGTGGTGCTGGGGAGGGAAGGAGCCAACACGTTGGGATGCCCGGTGGGCGGACGGGACCCCACGCTGGCCCCACTCACCGATCAGGGGCACCACCAGGATGAACTTCCTGCACTCCAGGAGCGTTGCCAGGCTGCTGAGGTGGTCGATGAAGCCGTTGGTGTCCGGCACCAGGAAGACAGGTCTGATCTCCAGCTCCATCTGTCTCACTTGACTCTGGTCCTTCAGCACGGCCTGTTGGAGGAGGATGGAGGGTGAGTGAGGAGGGCATCGGCCCTGTGGACCCCCGAGAGAAGGCAAGTCCGGCTGCTGGGCACGTTTCCCACAGCAAGGACACAGCGCCTGACCCCCTGCACATCCCCAGCACTGCGCACTGCAGGCCTCCAAGGAGGAGTTTCCCAGGAAAAGGTAGCCCTGGAGAAAACAGCCTGGCACCAGCCTTGCAAATAGAAGTGTTTCAGGATTTGTCCTATCTGCACGACTGGCGGTTGCCAGGACTGATCCGCACTGGTGCCGCTGGCCTTACGATAGAAGGGGGAGAAAGCAGGGGCTGGAAGAGGGAGATTCCGGGACTCCGGCGGGTAGTGGCTCAAGGTGACAGCTCCCCAGCGAAAACAAACCAGTGTGGGACATGAGTCATGTCCAAAGCCACCCAACACAGACCCCTGCGTGGGCAGGAGAGGTCCGTGGGGAGGGGATGTGCGGCTGCTGCGTCTCGCTTGCTGCTGCACCAGGTCTCGCACATGCCGGGCCTTTTTCCGACCACATCCAGCTGGGAGGCCAGGTGGATTCCAGTCCTGGAAACCCAAAGCACTGTCCTTGACTGAGGCCTGTGCACCCACAGGAGGCCAGAGGGCCTCACGCACGTGGGGAGGGTCTGCTGGGCTTTACTAGCACCCCTCTGGGCTGTACCTGGCCCTTTGGATAAGGCTCATTGCCAAAAAGAGACCCAGGCGCTCACGTATTACTTCAGATGCTATCGAAGGACTCGGGCTCTTTAGCAAGTCAGCGGCTTAAAAAACTCAGGCTGCTATTCTAGTGCTTCCTCTGCTTAAAAATAGCAGCTTCCCTGGACTTGCTCGTGTTTGTTGCCTCTAATAGGAACTGGTCACCCTCGGAGCAGGGCAGCAGCACCGCTATGGAGCGTGTCCCCCACGCAAAGCCCCGCGGCACCCACGAGGAGCAGCCCAGGGAGGGCAGGGGAAGCTCAACCCCTTCTGCCCGATGCTGCGGGAAGCTCCTCCGCTCCCTGCTCAGGGTCCGAGCCCTCCTGCCGACGTGCCAAAGCCTCAAAGGCGCCCTGGAACCATGAGCTGCACCAGGCGGCAGCGGCCGTGGAAATAAGTGGTTTTTTAGTCCATTTCCCAGTGCTGTCATCTGGCTTTAAATCAAGGCGCCCTGACTGTGCCACCTCCCACAAGTGCCTGCAGACTTCCCCACATGCCTCACACCCTCTCCCTGGCACCGCCGCTCCCGGGGACGCCGTTCCCATGGACCCAGAAGGGCAGATGGGAAAGCTGGGCCGGCCTGGGGCCAGGGAGGTGTCTGCCCGCTCCGTTGGCACTGGGACCTCCGGGTTAGGGGGCACGGAGGTGCCACGCAGCCTGCAGCGCGGATAGGAGCGTGGGCGATGCTCCTGCACGCTGGGGCTCTGCCAGCCCCATGGGGCCAGCGCGGAGCCCTGAGGGAAGCTGGCGGGAAGGGCGAGCGCCACGCCGCAGAGCAGCCTCCGACGGCGCCACGTGAGGCTCGAGACACCGGCCGCGCGC